TTTGCTCGTGTAGGCGGAGATCCGGCACTTTCCTAGTCCTTACGTAAGACCGGTGACGTTTTTAGATAAGTCGTTCTCGGACTCTTACCATGTTAGATGAGTAGCCATAGCATTTCTATAAGGGAAGTGAAAGTATGATCCCGAGATAAATACGTTCTCGTAATTGTCGATCATTGTCCCGACGGTTGATACAATGATTTGACTGTTCATAGGAGACTTGATACTAGTATAAATTAGTATATATATAAATATTTGACTAGTTTTGTAACAGCTGCGGGGATAGCTCAGTTGGGAGAGCGTCAGACTGAAGATCTGAAGGTCGCGTGTTCGATCCACGCTCACCGCATTTTTCTTTTAAACTTTCCCAATGTACTTTTTGTCCCATCATCTTATTATTTGATAGGGCTTCACGATCTAGCTTTTTTTTTTTTATTATTTTAATTTTTGGCCAGTTCAACAGATCGAGCTAGATATAGTCAAACGAGACCAGCTAGATCTTTCAGAACAAGGCAAGTTTGACTGGCTAGTTCCTAGATTCCATTACCATATGAAGAGCAACACAGCTCGACCCAGTTGTAAAAGTGATAAAGAGGACAGGGCACGGAATAACTTTAGCAGATATAGCTAATTTGTCTGCGTAATTAGTACATTTCTCATATGATAAATAGAGGCATTTAATTGCCCTTTCCATCTAATAAGACAAACCAGACATTCCAATGTCCAGACATAAAGAAAGAAAAGGAAGTGTTGGGTTGTCTTCAAAGATCAAAAGCTCCCACAATAACTTTCGGTTTTTGCTACATGCCTTTGCGGTGAGCATTTGACTCTTTTCTTTTTTCCCTTTCATTCAGTTCTGTTACTAGGAATCTGTTTCCAGATCCAAGATCGGTTTACAATAATTCGTTTATGAGTGATGGTCGGACTGTAACTTGTTTAAAGAGCCACTCGCAGTCTAACACATCACTATGTAAGCCGATTCCATGAACCCATTTTAACAAGTTGAGCATAGTGCGTTCCTTAGATATCGCCGCGAAGAGTCCTGTTGTTCAACGGGGCGAATCCAGAAGATTGGAAAAAGAGAAAATTAATGATGAGGACTGATTTTAGGGACTTTTAGGACTTGCGAACCGTGCGAAATGCACTAGTCAATATCTGTCGATGGATTCGCGTTTCCGTAAGGAGCATGCAAGCTCTATGTGCAGAAAGTTGAAAGGGCAAAGCTTAAAGTATCTTCCTATGGGTTGTCCGAAACGTGATGGAAACATGTCAATGTAATGATCAGAGAAAGAATCCTTACCCTTGGACTCCACTAGCCGCTAAGGTTCCAAGAAAGGGGGTCCAAAAAGAGTAACCAATGGGGCAAAAGTTTATAGGGTTGCAAGCCGACGTGGCACGCGGGCTCCGGTCAATCAAGAGTGCCCGCTTTTTTATGTGGTTTTCGTTTTCGGATTTGAGAGTTTGTCTTTTCGTTATCGCTTTTGACCGAATCAAATTATCGACATCCTTTCAATTAATCCATTCAGTATATCCCTTTCGAGATGGATCGACATACGAATATAATATGATGACGTGCGATGATCTCAGGAAGATGAATTGACGAGTCAACTTGGAATAGTCCGCAAATGAGAAGATTAGCGCCTCCACTAGATTGAACAGAATAAACCCGGTTTGTGTACTCTACTAGTGAGTGCAGGAAAGGTTCTTTACGTGTTTGGGGTTTCTCCTCTCTCTCACTCTTCCTAACTAGCTTTGCCTTTTTCTGTATCTTACACTTTAAGAAAAGAAGACATCTGCTCGATTACGACATAAAGAAAGACACGAACGACAGAAGTTTTCAGCAAATGTTGAGGAAATGGAGATGTTAATACGCTGCTTTCGACGGCTCGTGCGCGAGTTGTAACAAAAGCGAGGGAGAGACAAGCAGACAAAATGAGAAAAGAGGACCCTTTTGCGCCTTTGTTTTTCATGGAGAAAGAAAGTGTATCTTGGACTTTCGAAATCGCCTTTGTTCTGGAATTGGAATCTAAAGCGAGCATGTGGAGTGAGGAAATGGACATACAATGATTAATCCAAGTGTCCTGTAGCAGTCAAGTGAGAGTGGCGGTCCTCGAACACCCACACGAGAGAAGACAAGTGGACTTGTTTTTGGTAAGAAAAGTGCTTGTTGTTTGAGGGGAAAAGGAAAAGGATAGAAAGGAAGTCCTCGAATTGGAAGGACACAAGGTAGATTAACTCATTCTTCAGCCGATCTTGGAGCTATATTCAGGCTAAAAGTTTAGAAACATAGCAGCCAGGAAAGAACGTGCAATACCGAACAAATTGTGCGATTGGTTGGTCGATTAGACTAAGTCTAGAAAATGTCATCGCGCTTCGAATTTATTGTTTTTATGACTGATACGGAACTCCGAGCATACCGGGAATTTCGTTCGAATGATTAGTAACGCATGAATTCCAGTGAACAAAAGTGACCGGTACGTGCTAGCTTTCATAACATGTCCAATATTTATTAGTGTGTTACCTCACATAATCAGAGTTTATCAGGTGACAGGCATGCATGCATCTATTGGATATGTATGTATTATTCTCAGTTCAAGTAACTTGTTGATGGGTGTAAGTCATTCTCAGGAAGAAGCACGCGCTTGCATGTCTTGCACCTTTCAAGAACACGTATAAAGCTCACTTCCCCAAGGGCAAGGGGCGTGGAGTTTGGTGGGGTCGTAAGGAATATATGTGCATGCAATGAGCTTGGAACTATGAGCTGAATGCACTATCTCAACAGTCGCATGTGAAGAGTACTTAAGAGTATTTTTGTTATTTTACTTTATGTTTTTTTGCGGATGCGCTTGTCTATATATGAGAGGCTCAAAAAATAATCCCTACTAGCTAAGCGCATCAAACGGGTGGTTCGGGTCGGATCGAAAATGGTTTGGTCAAAATTAACCGATTTTTACAAAATACAATTTCAATGATCCATACCCAACATGACCTCGATCATGACCTTGACCCCACCCATACACAACCCCAACTCAAGATCCAATTCTCAGCATTTTTCTCTTCTAAAATTGTTACCTTTGAAGATTGGGCGACTCCATTGATCGGTTCGCCGAGTCAATGAGGGAGCTCAAGTTCTTAGATCGGGTCATGAGCTAGGACTTTGCATGGCACATAAGCAATGTGGAGATTTACATAATAGCCCTATGCAACCGGATCGGTCTCCCACTTCCACCCGCGCCGGCAGCAACCCAGCGCGAAGTGGCCAAGCTCTCTCTCTCTCTCTCTCCGCAACAACGCTAGTTCTACCGCTCACTTTCTTTTGCAGCTCGCCAACTCCAATTTGTAGCCTATATTTGCTCCGTTGCAAAAGAAGGCGAGTATCGTTCCTCCTTTGTGTGCGGGCTTGTCAGATCGCGAGATGTGGTGCCCGGTGAGCACCAATTGCCCTCGCCATGTGCGGATTAGGATTGCATTGCCCTGCCCCCATAGGCTGCATGGCGATGGCGGGCCGGATTTTCTTCGCTCGATGCGGGGAAGGGGAGCGTGACCTCCATGCCCATCCCTAGGGTTTTCGTGAGTGACCCTTTTGTTTTCTTATTTCCCAAAGCTTGGATTTTGCTTTGGCTTGTAACGTGTAATTCTTTTGTGAGAGAGTGTCTATTATGCTATAGAAGATAGCTCGAAACAACTGACGGGGGATTATGCCCTAATTTTTTTTCGGTTGGAGATTATACCCTATCTTAGAGAGAATTTTTTTTTTCCTATGTTAGAGGTGTGTCGTTTTTCTTGAAACCTGACTATATGTTAGTTTGTGATCGCTACAAAGCTGGAATCAACCTGATCCAGATCTAAGATTCTTTGAGCTCAAAATTCACAGTTTGTTCCTTTAGGACATTCTGTTGGCTTTGGAGATGTTTGACAGACACTGAACAATGCCTTTCCCACCGTTGAATTGCGACTCGACGTATGTATTTGGTCTTATTAACATTAATTGAACACCAGGTTTTCTATTAATTGCTTTCGTTTTTAATACCGATTTAATTTAAAGTATATATTGTTTGTTTTGTTTTCTGGTTGTTAGAATTCCGACGGTATTTTTATGGATGAATGAGGAATTGAGTTTTATAATTTATGTTTTATGTTACATGTATGAACTTTTTATCTTTTATAATAGTACGTGACTACGTGTTCATCTTATGAATTATTGCTTTTGGTGAATAACGATTTGTTGTTCATCTTTTACTTTGACCAATATTGTTTGCTCATATTAATTTGTTATAAAAAACGAAACCAAAAAAAGGGAACTAAACAAAAACAAGCTCTCATGTAGACCGTGGAACCAGACCGGAAAAATAAGATAGGTTCCAGGGCAAATGAGATAGGTTGTAGGTTCCAAAAACTAAGAATTGGCTCTAACAAGGTAGGTTCCAGGTTCTAAGTCTGGAACCTACCCATCTGAGAACCGATTACCCCTAATACGTAAGTGTCAAACTAACTAATAAAAACGAAGAGGCTTTAGATTTGAGAATTGGTTCCAGTTCGGTATCCCGTTGTCTAAGAATTTGCTCATTTTATATTTTTGGGTAAAAAATTGAATACATATAATAAAATACTTACAATAAAATATGAAACCTACACCACTTCTGTCACGCCCCGAACCCTAACGGGCTCGCGACACCCTTACGGCGGTCGTATCAAACGCGACGTCCCAGGACGCGTCGCCGACCCAAACGGAATACCCACATGAATACGCAAGCGGAAGCGAAATAAAACAACCCAGACAAAAGATAAAGACAAAGGGATAGCACAAAACGATAATTTCATAACAATGGAAAGCAGTCAGACATTAGGCTCCTAAGGTTACATCCACCATCATCCTCAAAAAGGGACAGGTGGTAGGGTAAGCTAGCTAGCTGCACAAAAATGGCTCTACCAAAAAGCTTCTAAGCCCAGCACCCAAACGCTCTTACGGTGCCCAATCTGAATCGGACCCTGAAGACTCCGACTCCGTGTCAGAGTTGATCTCAATCGGCTCTTCCTCGTGTTCGGACTCCAAGGGCTCTGGCACGGGCTCGGGCTCTTTAAATTCCTCCTTGAGCTTGAGATTCGTAGGCACTACGGGTTCTGGTATAGGCTCGGGTTCGGGACCAGGGTTCTCCGGGGGATCTTCGACGTCCAAAACCTCCCCATCATGAGCATACATGTCCCCGGGCTCTCAATCCACGGCATCCTCGTTGTCGTGCTGCTGTCTCTCAAAACCCCGGATTGGGCCAACTAGCTCCAACCCATCACGATAGAACCAAGCCAGGTAAGTGTGACGCTGCAAGTCCTCTAAGCCCACATCTACCCAGACTGAAGTGAGGTGCCTAATGTAAGTCTGATTTGGGCCTACCGGGTATTCGGTCTCCTCATGCACCGTATGCATAGGGATCCCAAAACGCCGAGGCAGAGGCATGATCAAGGTCGAGGTCGTGGATCTGAAATGGTTTGCACTACAGCAATGAAAATAAATCTCAATAAGCAGACAACCTATATCCCACCTAGGCCAATGCGTACCCAGACGAGTCCCAGCATGTAATCTAGCAATTGACATAATCAAATTCTCATGCACACTTACCTCGCCTCAAATCACCTACCAACTCCGCGCATTAATCAAATCACAATATGCAATAATAGCTCAAGGACATAACATAAACACTCGAGCGCCATAACCATGTACATTCACTCAATTTAACCAAACACATTTCGCATGCGTGGCTAACCAACTATCCACGACCCGCGTCAACACGTCTCAGGTCCATTCTCACAGCCCGCGTCAATACGCCTCAGGCTCAGCCCTCCGATCAATCCGGGCTTAGTCCCGTGTAACCACGCATCAGGACATTTCTCTCGACTCGCGTAACCACGCCTCAGGTTATTTCTTGCTTTTCTAGCCACACCTGCATAACCACGCCTCAGGTTGGTAACCCTCCGATTAATCCAGGCTCAGTCCTGCGTAACCACGCCTCAGGACATTTCTCTCGACTCGCGTAACCACGCCTCAGGTCATTTCTTGCCTTTCTAGCCACACCCGCGTAACCACGCCTCAGGTTGGCAGCCCTCCGATCAATCCGGGCTTAGTCCCACGTAACCACGCCTCAGGACATTCCTCATGCACATACGCCACAACACAATTCGCCAATACCAATCTAACACCTCATACTATTCAAATCCAAGTCATGCTCACCACATTAGCCCCACCAATCCGACCTTCAAGTCGGTCACTTTCGAACACCGATTTCACCCATAAACGCCACTACAATTCAGTTATTGAACCCATCTCGATCGATCGCTAATTTAGCACAAAAATCACCACCACAATAAACCCTAAACCAATCACATCCAATTAACTAATCCCTACCTAATTTAATCACTAAACTAACAATAATTACCCCTAAACAAGTCTAATAATACCCAAAGTACTAAGTAGGATTTAGGGAGTCACTTACCTAGGTTTTGGCCCAAGGAAAACTGGCAAGGGGCCAAAATGGCCCGGTGAAACAGTGGCGGGCTCGGCGCGGCACGGGCACAACGGGCAAAGTGGCCGGCCACGGCTCAGCATAGCCCTCGGCCACGGCCCGGGACTCTCGGCCACAGCCAGGCGAGCGGTCAGGCGAGCGGGCGACGGTTGGGCAGTGCTGGGCGACACGGCCAGGCAGCGCCGGGCGAGCGGCTAGGCAAGCGAGCGACAGCTGGGCAGCGCCGGACGACGCAGCCACGGCCTGGGCAGCGGCCAGGCAAGCGGGCTAGGCGAACTAGCGATGGGCTCGGCCACGGCCGGGACAGTCCGGCCAAGGTAGGGACAACGGCCGGCGAGCTCGGCCACGGCCTGGGCAGGTGGCAGGTGAGCGGCGATGGCGACGGCGAACAGGCAGGCGTGCGGCGATGGGCAAGAGGGGGAGCTGGGGTGGTGGTGGCGAGCCGGTGAGAGCGGCGATGACCAGTAGCGACGGCAGCGACCGGTCGGCGAGGCGAAGCCAGGGTGAGCCAAAACAGGGGAAGGGGAAAAAGGGAAGGGCCGTGGCGGTGATGGCGGAGCCGGCGGCGGTCAGGGGTGGCACGGTGGCGTCGCAGGTGGCTGGGCGAGGCAGGATGGCCGGCTGGCGGCTCGGCAGCACCGGGACACAGCAGACGTGACGGCGAGCTTGTTGCCCGCGCGCGAAGGGGCAACGAGGGAATGAGAAGGGCAGTCGGCCATGGGCAAACGGCTAGATGGACGGCGGCCCTGGTGGCCGAGCGTACAGCGACGCAAGGCGGAACGCCGACGAGCTGCGGCTGGGCACACGTGGCGGTCGGGCATCGAGGAGCAGGAGTAGCGGCGAGGGAAAGAAGGAAGAAGAAGAAGAAAAGAAGAAGAAAGAAGGAAGAAAGAAAAAGAAGAAGGAGAGAGAGAGAGAGAGAGAGAGAGAGAGAGAGAGAGAGAGTGGACGGGTCTGCATGGCAGGGGGGAGGGGATGTGCGCGGAGGGGACGCACGGCAAAGGAGAGAGAGAGAGAGAGAGAGAGAGAGAGAGAGAGAGAGAGAGAGAGAGAGAGAGAAAGTCAACCCCATCGAGTGCGATCCAACGGCCCACATTCAAACTCGAAGTCGATCCGACAATCCACGAAAAACCCTAATTTATAAATTACGAAAAGGCCAAAAATACTAACTAAAACACACTACGAGGGAGGTCTACTAGTCAAAATCCGCACTCGGTCCAAATTTCACTTTTCACCAATTTCGAATAATACCGACGCTGGCCACAATAATAGCGACACCTTCCAATTAAATTCGTCACGAAACTCCGAGAAATTCGACACTAAAGTTTAGGCTCTAAATAACGGCCAAATTCGATTGAGTGCGATTTTAGCGAAATCTCAAATTTAAAAATAACCCAAAAGTGATCAGTTCCGGGCGAGATTTTATTATAAGCATACTGACGAAATACACGTTTTATAAATCCCAAAAATGAGTCGAAATTCGGAATGTCACAACTTCACTACAAAACATATAATGATCAAGTGGTCATATTGTTGTTTGTTCATGTGGAAGATTATGTTTTGATTCTTGATGCATGCAAAAATATTTTTCTTATTTAGAAAAGTGACTTTAGAACTAGCCTTGAGGGACTCAGGCCAAACCTTCATGGACTCGGGCATGGGCATGGGGTCTCGAGCTCAGGCTCGAGAGATTTGCGGCCAGCCTTTATGGACCTAGGTTGATGGCTGAGGAATTGTGCCTAGCCTCGATGCACCCAAGCCGAGAGCCCGTGATTTGGGCTAGGGAGCCGGGTACCCCTAGATGGTCTCTGAGGACTCGGGCATGAGCACTAAGGTCATAAGCTTGGCCTCCAAGGACCCGAGGTCGGCCTTCGTGGACTCAAATGCAAGCACTAAGGTCTCTAGCCCAACCTCGAAGCAACTAGCCCTTGCCTCTATGGATGCGAATCTAGCCATCAATGGACCGACTGGGCACTAGTGACTTTGGCACGAAGCCTGATTCTCGCACATGGCCGCTAGGGACTCAAGTATAGCCACTGAAGTCTCAACCCAAAACTCAAGGGACCTAGGGCAGGTCCCCATGGACCCAATCATTATAAAATTGGGACCAACAGAAGGACCTGGCCAGGTGTTAGTAACTTGGGCACGCAAGTCGAGCACCTAGGTAGGGTCACTAGGGATTAGGGGCACTAGGGTCTCAAGCATAGGCCTAGGCACAAGGTGTCAGGTTTGCCTCTATGAACCTAGGCTCAACCGCCGAGGAACTAAGATCAATCTTGTTGGACTTAGGTTGAGCACCAGAGCTTAGGTGAAGGAGTTGAGTACCTGGGCATGGCCGTCGGGGACCTGAACACAGGCACCAAGGTCCAGGGCCCGACTTCAAGGTACCTGAGCCTAGCCTCCATGGACTCAAGCACGTGCACTGAGGTCTCAGACTTGACCTAAGGGAACTAGGCTCTACCTCTGTGGATTATGGCCCAACCATCAAGGAACATGCCCGACCTTGATGTACCCAAGCTAGCCTCGATGGGCCTAGGCTGGGTGCCAATGATTTGGGTGTAGGAGCTGACTACCCTGTCATGGCCACTGGAGACCCTAGCATGAGCCCCGAAGTCTTAGGCCTGGCCTCTATAGACCCGAGCATGGGCATTGGAGTTTCAAGCCCGACCTCGAGAGACTTAGGTCTAGCCTTTATGAATTTGGACCTAGCCATAGAGGAATCGGACTCGGTCTTAATGGACATGGGCAGGGTGCCAGTGACTTTGTGCGAGAGCCGGGTACCTGCGCATGGCCATCGGAGACTCGGGCATAGGCATGAGAGGATATTGCTATTTGATTAAATGGGTTGAATTGGGTTTATTTTGTAAACCCATTAGAACCCATAACTAATTGGGTTTTGATTTGTTAGATCCATTTAACCCATATTTTAAATTTGAGGCAACTCATATTTCATCCAACTTAACAAATACGAGTTAAAATATGAGTTTATAACACATTTTGTCATCTCTACCTGTAGCCATACTGGTTAGGATAATGCTTAATACTAAGGTTTCGTACTTTGACCATGCGAACTTTCTAGAATGATTATTACTTACGAATTGTGTTAAGAGTTTATATTTTCCTCAAACACCATCATATGTGTTCTGTGTTTGTACCTTCTTTCATCACACGCGTTCTTTGTACGAAGGTTAGTCGATTTGATAGAGTCAAATCCATGTTATGTGCATAGTTTGTGTGCTAGTGAGGGAGCGCAAACTAATAGATAACTCAAATTTCAAAGTGATCACATAATATCGTGTCGATCATTTACAACGGAATTCAATGAGAAAATTCGTCTCGCCTTTGAGTCTAAAATTCTCTAGGCCTGTCAATTGGTTCGAACATCGTCCTACTTGATTAGAAACCTAAGAGACTCATTAACACTTGATGGTTAGAAACATCAATTTGGAGCCAAGAAGAAATGTGTACTTATACTACCAATTTCTCATCTTGATTGTGAGCCGTAGGTTCTGACGAGTTTGAATTTTCTTCCCTAGTTTTGGTGGTTACAGCTAGGGTGAATAACGAGTTGCACGTGTCGTCATGCTAGTGAGCGTAAGAAGAGCCATTCATGTAGCGACACAAGTCAGAGAGTGAAAACAAAATAACCATAGTGGAAAAATATGTTTTTTATAATTTTTATTCT